ATTGTATTACTTCTAATGCAGTAAGTCAGTAGAAGCAGAATTAGGCCATCTTTTAACTAGGAAAGATGACCTTTTTTAACTACTTCCGATATACTTTTTTTGTGAGAATCTTGCCTCGTTCTGTGGGCATATTTTCCAGATTTGGGGAATAATATGAGCTAAACCATTTCTCACATGACTTTTCCGAGGTGCAGACTTTTTCAGTTCCATCCCATTTCTGAACTGTGATAATAGAAACGGTATTATATACAGAAATAAATTGAGGTAATTTAGCTGGTGCCTAGAAGTCTTCCTTACTCAGATTACAGTACATGCTAAATCCTGGGTGGAACTTTTGGTGATTTTTAACTCTTCCTAGTTGGAGTACATTGCTCTTTTATTGTCTTTCACATTGTTATTTCATGCAGATTCCCATAAAGTGAATGTCAGGGAGGGAAGGGGATAATTTAGAGGCCCTTCTGAATTTCTGATTGTTTCTTTCTGAACTTTTAGGTAAATGCTTTATTTTTCAACAAAATGTTGGAGGATGTGCCTTTGACTTGCTTGTTGGAAGTACTATCTGAAAAACCCCTGGAAACACCAAGCTTTGACACTTTGCTAGATATGGATTCAGCAGAACAGGCAGAATGGGGCAGCCGGCCTTCTTCCCATCAGCACTACATGGTGCTGAGTTCTAACAATCCCCAAAGCAGCCACCATAAAAACAAATACTTTGATGACAAAAATGATAATGGAAATGCTTTCCCACAGTCCTTGGAACATGATCTACACATAACATCAGAGCCAATGACCCAAATAATTCCCTTCACCTTGTTGAATGTACCAGCAGAGATTAAAGAAGAAAGAAAACAGGTAATGTCTGATGACCAAACCGCATCTGTCACTGACATTTCAAACCAGACATATTTGCTAATGGGCTGATTATGTCTATCATTGGAGGACAGCACTATGGGAAATTATTAAGTCCTGTAGGAGTTTGCAATACAATACAGGCAATTTTCAGTGGTAAGGCAACTGTTTAGCCAGTACTCCTCAGATCTGTTTCTTATGGACCAACTGAAATGAGCAACTGCAGATAGGCCAATTTTTCATGGACAAAAGCTATCTTGAAATTTTGGAAGGCAATGATGCGAAGTGACTAGAACTATACTCACACAGAGCTCACTTTTTCTGGTTTGAAAGGGGGGAAAATTACACTACAATGTTTCTATGTTTCTCTTTTCAGAGTGGCAGGCAATCATACTGCCAAATTCTGGTAGTAATAGCCAAAGGGTACTCTGGTTGCTGCAACAGGATTTGAGGATCTGTGGGCTCAATTACCAACCCAGGCATTGGATTATGAGGTGGAGTTGAATGTGGAATTTTATCCCAAGACGTGTCCACGTTGCATCTCATAACCACAGGTCTCCAAAAGCAAAGTGATTCTTATGCATCTGAGTCCCAGTGATTTGCATGACAGCTAAAAAAGCTCCACGATTTTAAATATATTTTCCATTTTGAAGAATTATGCAAAGTATATTTTATGGAAATGATGAAAGAATTGTAGTAATACAACTGCTTAGCATAACCAGAAATAGAGGTAAATAGAAAATGTACATGCTGAGCACAAAAATACAATTTGTGAGATAAGCACCATTCTATGTTAGGTCACTGTAATATCAGATTTATTTCACTGATTTTAAATATGACCTGTACAGATTAGGATTCGCTGTTACTATTTGCATTGCCATGGTTGCTTGTAAACAAATGTAATGTTATTTGAATAATGCAACTGCTGTGATTCATGGTAATTAAATGTACTTATTTTTTCATGAGGATCAAATTTAGGTATTCACACTGATTTACTACCATTTGTAGTGTCACAAAAGCACTTCTTACCATCTCCAGAGAGGTTTCACCAACCTTTTAAAATTCATTTTGCTTTAAAAGTAGGATAAGGATGACCTAGTTTTTAATGGAAACGTACATGGAGTAAAGGATAAGTAAATTCTGCTGGCTTACTCTAGCCAGGACAAGACGTACTTCTGTTTTGATGCTTCCTTGTACCAAACCAATTAGGTGCCTAAGATATATAACACAGCAGTAGTTAATGGCACAGATTCTGGGCTTCTCAGAAGTTGGGTCAAACTAACATAAAGCCTCAGAGGGCATTACATAAGCTCTACTGTTGATAGAAAGGCCAAAGAAAGGCCAAAAGCAAAGGGTATTTTTGAATGAAGCAAATGGTCAGATGAATCAGTGTTGTAGTCAATGAGATGACCATAGCCACCTGCCATATATGTGAAGAAAACAGGGAAAAATACAAACAGCAGCTATTTGAAGATGTCACTGTATATATCACTTTTATAATAAAATGTCAGCTAGAGAGTTGGAGATGCCAATTCCAATGCCAGGTTGAAGATATTATATTGAATATACATGTACTCTCTCATCACTTGAAAGAGAGGTTGAAGCGAGGAAAGAAAATAAACTGGGATCTGAGACTGCATACTGTAAGTACTTCCCATTTTCCTTGTATAAAGGTATATTCTGTTAGAAGAATGGCAATTGTATCTAGTGTAATAACAAATAAACCAAAATTTTCTCCAATAGAATTGTCCCAGAAATGTATTTATTGATTTCAGAATATAAAGGTAAAAAAACAATATAAAACCAAGCAAAGGCAAGCAAGGAGCAATCACCCCTCATTCACAGGCATTAACGATCTAATAAGCCATTGCATGGACTCCATCCCACCCTGGGGTCTCCAGGCCCGTTGGCAAAGCCATGTCTTATGAAAAAGTGTCAGAGAGGAAACCAATCATCTCTGCAGAGATGATGTTTCACAGAGAGGGAGTCACCATGGAGAAGGCCCTTCTTGGTCCCAGACGGACCTCCTTCCCTGCCTTCCTGTTCTAGTGGATCAGGTAGATTTGATTGGGAAAAGATGGTCCTTTAAATAACAAGCCATATGAATTCGCAACCAGCAACTTGAACACCAAAGCAAATCAGTAGCCACTGCAGCTCCCACAGATGACGACACATAAGCACATCTAGGCCTGCACCAAACTATGTACGCCATCGCATTTTGAACCAATTGAAGCTTCTGGATATTTTTCAAGGGTGTTTCAATATGGAAGGGAGGTAACTAGGGCATGGGAGACTATGAGCAGGGATTGTTGGTCATAATTGGTCATAATTGGCACCCAACCTGCATTTACCCAAAGGGTCTCCTGGCCAAGATTGCCACCTGCTCTTTGAGCAAGAGTCATGATGTTGCAGGAAATAACGAGACTCAGACCTTGGAATCCAAAAATAAGTTGGTTTTATTTGCGCAAACAGGTTCAGATTATTTTAGTGAGAGTCACTTCTGAACAGATTTCTTATAGAACAGCACATGCTTATATACTTCTTCAGAAGGGGCAAAACACAGAAGTATAACTTGTCAGTCATTCATTGGTTACTTGAAACACAGCTTTCCCCGTCCCCTGTTGCTAAGCTAGGGTGGGTGGATGTCACAAACCCATCTTGCTAAACCCCCTAGCTTGTGGTTTTGTTACAAGTGAGACAAGGTATCTTGACAAATACAACTTTATGACTGATAGATGATCCTTGTGGTTTGGCTTTTCACACTTCCTTGTTCTTCTCTTGTTAATACCACATATTTCACTATCTATAAAACTTGTATCATTATTTCTCTAAAATTAATATATTTTTATGTCCTGCCTTAATGAGAGTCCAGAACTCCCAGATTACATTGAAATTTTGAATATGAGGTTTGAAAAATGCATCCAAGATGAAGGGAAGCATCAAAAGTACTAATCAAAGCACAAAAGGCAGAACATGGGAGAATTTTTATAAGAGAATTCAGAATAAGGTTTTAAAACGTAACATATACTGTAGCAAGTAATAATCCTTATTTGAACTACAATTTTCAGCATCTCTCACTATCAATCCTGCTAGCAAAAGCACCCTGGAAATAATTCAGCAACATCTGAAGGACTGCAGGGTATCTGCCTCAGAGGATTTTTTTGTTGGGATCCATTTTTCAAACAGCTGAGTTCAAAACTGCATTTGCTAAACATCTTCCTTCCTGCTCGGTACCACCTATTTAGATCTTTCCTGCACACAGAGGGTGCAGATGCTGATGCTATTTGGTCACCAACAAAACAGTTGAACAAACTGACTTTCTGAATTAAAAATCTATTATAGGTCTCCATTTTAGGACATCATTTTGTTCCTTGGAAAACTGGAACAAAATGTAGATTTATTACAACCAGATTAAGGCTGGAGACCCAGAACTTTATCGCAGATGAAATCCACTAACTACAGCAGCGAGGCTCATCTATGAGAGGATGTGCAGTATTGTCTGGTATAAGGTCTCATGAAAACAAGTCTGCTTCCATAAATCTTGCAATTATGTTTAAGAACGCTCTTTTCTGGTCATATAATCTTTTCTCCGATTTTACCCCTTGAATGCCCAGCAGAAAGGTTTACAGCAAGCGGTTCCCCAAACATGGCAACTGGAAGATTTGTGGACTTCAACTCCCAGAATTCTCCAGCCAGCTATGCGGTTAGCTAGGCTGGTTGGAGAATTCTGGGAGTTGAAGTCCACAAGTCTTAACGTTGCCAAGTTTGGAGAGCTCTGGTTTACAAGTTACAGTTTAGCAATCAAATAGAGAAGCTATCCCAATAACTTCTTGCGGCTTCCGTTTGACCTGCTTAACATCGGGCCAAAACCGTTTGCTTTAGAACGTTGAATATTTTCATTAGAGCGTCAAGCGCCATGGAAACGCTCCCCCTCCCCCACCCCGCGCCGAACATCGGCCGAGACCTTTTTCACGCCACTTCCCCCGTTACGACAATTGTAAATCATACAGGAACCCGCCCAAGGCAACTTAAACCATCCAGGGAAACGTTGGGTTGACAAAAGCCACGCCCACTTCCATTCGAAGGGCCAATAGACGTAAAAAGAAAGGCGGGGGAGCCGTAAGTCGTCGGGCGGACGTTAAGTTCGAAATGGGCCAATCGCTGATCAAAGTGGGAAGTTTAAATCCTGAATGGCGGAAGGAGCCGGGAGAGTTGGAGTCAGAGCAGTGGTAAGTGAGAGAGGTTCCGCCGACCCGAATTTGGGTTTTCCTTCTGGTTCTCGATTTCTTCCCGTCCTCTGCCCAATATTGGTTTTCCTGCCCAATTTGTCTTGTAATGTATTTTGCTGCGGTGCACGAGATGCACCCTCCCCTCCCCCATCACCCCCCGTGCCAGAAACTGACCCGGAAATTGTATGAGGAAGAAAAGCGGACTGCTTTCAATCAAGCAAACGTATCGCAGGAAAAGAAAAATCACTATATTGTCTTATTGTGAGACGTTTGCTTGGTTAAATCTCCAGAAGATAAACGGTTGGGTTACAAAAAGAGCTCCACCCTTTCGCCCAGATTGTGGGGCCTTTGCGGGAGGGGGAAAAAGTCGGGTAGAAAGCAGAATATGAAAGAAAAGGAGCATGGTCTTTTCTTGCCACTTGTGCTTGTAAGGACCGCATTCAGTCACCTGAATCTTATCTAGTTTGTTATATTCTGGAATAAGGCTTGTGAACCTATAGCCATCCTGTGGATGCAGATGACTCTATTTTCCTGATGTTCTTGTCTTACTCTCCTTATCCGAGATCAACTTATTTCTTCCCTGGCTCTGATTCCACAGCACGGCATCCCTATGGCACAGTTCCTGTTTGAGAGTGATTTGCATGGGCTGTTGAAATTTGAAGTTCCCAATGTACCCCCTGCACGATGGCAGCGTAAGGCTAAGGAGAGTGCTGCTCCCATCACTGGAGCTGCCTCGGATGCCATAGCTCCTTCGCCTATGAAACCAGCTAACAGGCCTCATAGTACCAGCAAGACTCCTTCCAAAACACCAGGTAAGATGTGTTTTATAACCAGTAGGTAGATAAACATCACTGTATGTGATGAAATCAGACATCAAGTGCCAAATCTTTGGTCTCTTCTATTTGTGCAATTTGTTTTCCAGTGCTGGAGATAAACATTAATGTTTTTCTTAATGACACTGTGAGAAAGCAATAAAAGATTCTTGCTCTCAGGCTAGCAATTACAAATTAATGAAATCTCTTGTTTTGCAGGCAAGTCTGGTTCCAAATCACAAAATACTCCAAACAAAACTGGAGGGGATAGATACATCCCTAATCGTAGTGCTATGCAAATGGATGTGGCCAATTTTCTCCTAACCAAAGAGGAATCCTCGGAGGAGACACCCACCAAGAAGGTAGAGTGTTTAAATGTCTGGTACAGTGAGGGTCACACAAGTGTGTACTTACTGAATTCTGTGTGATCAAGTACAGTATTATTGATTTCTTACAGTGTTTTTCCCCCTTCCAAGGAGCATCAGAAAGCCTGGGCAATGAACCTTAATGGTTTTGATGTAGAAGAAGCAAAAATCCTGCGACTAAGTGGGAAACCTCAGAATGCCCCTGAAGGTAAATCTGCATTGGGCTTATTCAGCACAAGAGTAAATTGAAAAGTGAAGGGCCTGGTGAGTTTCCAGATGCATCCCTTCTGGATAAAAGCTCCTATCAATAATAGCTGGCTTCTAAACTGGTGTTGCAGCAATGATCCATAATCCAGTTCATTCAAATTTATTCCATTGTTCTGGTATGTTTTGTTTTCATGGGAATTAGTCTAGGGATATTCAATTAGCAAGCTGATTATAATTTTTTTTTTACAAACTTGTTTATCATTTGTTTCAAGTGGCTATTTAGAACCACGTTGGGAAAAGCTGCCTTTTTGCATTTTCTGAATAAAGGCAGGGATGCTAATTTGAATTAGTTTGTTCAGTTTATTCAAAATAGAACAAAACTTGACTTTCTCATAATGCAATCCTTCACTGCCTTAGAAAATGAACTCTATTGTATTTTGCATTTTCTCTAAAGTATTATCTGTTGATATGTTAAGGTTGATGTCTCTATTGAAAGAAATCCAGTTAGTGCCTTCTAAATGGAGATTCCCATTTCCCCAAATTTCCATTGACTGTGTTAGCTTGGAATTATAGGAACATTGAGTTTTTTCTTGATTTATGCTGATAATTAGGTTACCTCTTTTCCAGGATACCAGAACAATCTCAAAGTGCTCTACAGCCAGAAGAGCACACCAGGGTCCACAAGGAAGATAAACAGATACATAGCCTCAGTGTCAGAGCGGATATTAGATGCCCCAGACATTCGAAATGATTACTGTAAGTAGCCATGGATTTGGAGTTTTAGTGAGGCTTTGTTCCAAACTGCAGAGGAGACCTATCTCCTCTGCCATATTGCAGCTTCCTTTGAAAGAATTATGCCCCCATATTGTATGGGATATGGCTAATATGGAGGTAGGAAGGGGTTGTATCTTGACTCGACTTGGCTTTGTTTCCAAACTAGTGTGTATTCTCATTTAGATCTGAACTTAGTTGATTGGAGCTCCCTCAACTTTTTGGCTGTGGCTCTGGATAAATCAGTGTATCTATGGAATTATGATTCCAGAGAAATAATCCAGCTCATGCAAATGGAAAATCCTGATGACTACATCTCTTCTGTTTCATGGATCAGAGAAGGAAATTACCTTGCAATTGGCACAAGTAATGCTGAGGTCCAGGTGGGGCAACTAAGGTTGTATTTAATGACCTGATATTCTGGTAATGGGACAGAGAAGAATAAAAAAAGTCTTTTAATATTAAAGGAAGTTAAATTCTCTTTTGGAGGGAAACCTGAGAGATATTTGATTTTTAAACCAACATGGGCTTGTTACATTTTGGATTGGAAAACTATGAGCTGCTTCCTTTGATAGTCAGTATGACCATGATTTGATTGATTGTTCATTTCTATATATCTGAATTAAAATGTTTATAACAAGTGGGACTGCCTTGTGCATTTTCTCACTTGAGCTGTATTCCATGAGACAATAAAAATAAAGTTGGGTATTTGGATTCTTTGTTTATATTGATTTAGTTATGGGACATCCAGCAGAAAAAGCGTCTACGAAATATGGTCAGTCATTCATCCCGTGTGAGTTCTTTAAGTTGGAATAGCTACATTCTGTCCAGGTAATAGTTTCTAAGCAGTATATCTCATGGGTACTGATGGGGAAAGAAGCCATATGGCTTATAATTTTTCATAGTGAAGAAATACATCACATTGGCCTTCTGGTACATTTGATATAGGTGACTATACTAATTTTTCCTTATAGTGGATCACGGACTGGTCACATACATCATCATGATGTCCGTGTGGCAGAACACCACGTGGCAACACTTGCTGGTCATACACAAGAAGTATGTGGGCTAAAATGGGCACCTGATGGCCGTTACTTGGCTAGTGGAGGCAATGACAATCTCGTAAACATATGGTCTATTGCTCAAGGGGACAACTGGTCACCACGTCCTGTGCAAACTTTTACACAACATCAGGGAGCTGTTAAGGTGAGTATATATCTGTAGAGAGTAGACATACATCTTGGTACAAAATTATATGGTATAAACCTCAATTAATGGTCATTTGGATAGCTCTTTAATCAAGTTCCACAGCTTGCAGTGTGGTCTGAATCCAATCCATGGCAATTTAGGAATTGCCATGGCAATCTTGGAAACTGGAATTTGTAATACAGTAAACAGATCTTGATTGCATATGTGATGTTTGAAGTCCAAAATGGCAGCTTAAGTTCCGACACCAAAAGAGTGACAATAGTTTGTAAAATAACCATGACAAGAAATTAAAATAACATTTTAATAAGGCTTCTTAAATGATATGTAGTCCTTATTTAGCAATTGCCTCATTTATCAACCATTTGTAGTTTTGACTAATGAAAAAGTAACTTTATGACCTTCACAGGTCTGTAAAACAAAGGAAAACTGAAGTTAAGACCATAAGCACAATTGCAATTTCATTTAGCAATCTCTTTGCTTAATGGCCCAGTTGCCTCTGCAAAAATGAGGACCATCTATAGTTTGCAAACACAGTATTTCTAATCATGGAGAACGGTGACAATAGTACACTTTCCCCCTTAGGCTGTGGCTTGGAGTCCATGGCAATCCAATGTGCTGGCTACAGGAGGTGGAACAAGTGATCGCCACATAAGGATCTGGAATGTGTGCTCTGGGAGTTGCCTCAACACAGTAGATGCACAGTCCCAGGTAGGTTTGCTTAATACATTTCAAAAAAAGTAAGGATTATTTCAACACTTTAAATTTAACATGCTGAATTTTTCCACGTAAGGTTATATCCAGTCAATATTTTACTTATTGCACTTTTTCTGGTGTTAATAGGTCTGTGCAGTACTATGGTCTACAAACTATAAAGAACTAGTGTCTGGTCATGGGTTTGCTCAAAACCAACTGGTAGTGTGGAAATACCCATCAATGTCAAAGGTCACTGAGTTGAAAGGTAAGTTTTTTTATATAATTAAGTGTCCTGATCAGGACACTGATCAGCATAAATCTTAAACATATTTACAAAATTGTCCAAATTGTCAACAAACTTTCCACAGGGATAGACTACAAGCTAAGGACTATTTTCTTGTCTGGTAAATTGATGTTTTAAATTTGGTTGTGCTCACTGTAGCAGCTGTTTTGTAAATGCATGAAAGCTTTTGTTTTGCTCCTAAACACAAATGTGTCAGTGGTCAAAATGATATCTTTTCCTGGGTTGGATTAGTTTAATTACAGGTTATGGTGGTCTATTCCACAAAGAAAAATGCCTATGCCAACTCGAATATATTACCAACTATCATTTACAGTCATTTGTAAAATATCTTTCCTTAGGTCACACTGCTAGGGTGCTAAGCTTAACTATGAGCCCAGATGGAACCACAGTTGCTTCAGCAGCAGCAGATGAAACACTGAGGCTTTGGCGCTGCTTTGAGTTGGACCCAGCACGTAAGAAGGAGAAAGAGAGCAGTACTAAAACCAGCATTATCCATCAAGGAATTCGCTGAGTTTCATCCAACTCTCTTCCAATCTATTGCTTTATGTACAGAATTTTAAACTATTAATAAATATTTCACTCTCCTTTAGAAATAGTGTTGGTATATGGATTGATATATGAATCACAAATGGTGTGAATGACTTTAATTGATATTGGCTTGTTTGCTAGAACTTGGCTTGTATACCATTGTAATAAAAATAAACTATTGAAGGAAAATAAAGACTAGATTCTCCTGATACAATCAATAACGTACCTTCTCTAAATCATTGTGACAGCTTTTATCACTAGGCAAATTGACTATAATTTAACTTCCCTCTTCCACCCCTCTTGAGTTGTGGGACAGATTAGGTTTCAGAATTTAGATTTAACCTGAAATATTAATTTGGGATTTGAAATATGTTTTCAAGTCACAGCCTTGATGCAACATCCTGTTACGGAGCAACAGTTTTATTAAGAAATACATAACCGAATTTTTCTTCCCAACTATTTTTACCTTACCAAATAAACAGTTGTAAATTTGCTTAGCTGAACCCAGTAATTTTACTGAACTATTTGGACTGATATTTAAGATTGTTCTTCCAAAACCATTTTCTCTGAAATCAACCTCAACACTCCTGAGAGTTAATCTTTCCACTCCTTTGTTATTTTTTGCACTTCTTTTAAACTCAAGACATTCTAATATCCCAAATGCTGGTGGGTGAGTCTAGTCCTTCTGTAGGTTTTTTTTTTTTTTAGCCTCAATCAAATCAACTGTAACCCAAACAATTCTACAAATGATTTTACTGCCTACTGGTTGAGTGGAAACTGAAAAGCCAAACCAATCAATCAACACCAATATTAGCCTCAACTCATCTTCACCTCTTTTTAAAGATTCTTGGGGCTTATGTAAAAAATGCTGAAAATGATCTGTTATTAAATAATCAAAATGACAGACATTATTAAGAGAATTGCCGTTTGGGCAGATAAAATCTGTAGTGTAACTATTTTGACAACTGGTTGGGAGTCGGGCAGTGTACAAATTTAATAAAATGATGCAGTAAGGTTATAATTCAGATTACATGAATAAAATACATTTTAATAAAGATTCATGAGTTGGTCCTTCATCAATAGGGCAAATAAAGCATTAATATTTCAGTCTTATTTTGAAGTGTAGCCTATTACAGTTATCTTATGAAATCTATCCATAGTTATAGCTTAGTGAAGTTGCTTGTGCCCAAGGAGGTGTAAACACTTCTCTTCCCATATGTGATAAGAGTTCTCATGGATTTCATGTAGGTAGTTCCTGACTTAGGATCATTTGATCATTTGGGCCTGGAATAGGTTCTTTACGGCCTGTTGGGCATGTCTGCCCATCACAAAATATGCCATATACAGCCTTAGTCACATGATATTTTGGGTGCTAGGCAACTGGCTCAACTTTGTGATCAACTGCAATATCCCAGAGTCATCTCAATTTGCTAATTTTCCCTGCAAAAACACTCATGCTGAGGAACAGGTTAATATGACCAGTGTTCACTTAACAATTTGTATAATGATGGTGGTGATTTACTTAATGACCACAAAAAATGTAAAATTGAGTAGTCATCGAATGCCTCCATTTACAACCATGATAACTTATGACCGTAAATCAATCCCAATCGTACTTGTAAGTCAAGGACTACCTGAATGTCTACAACACTAGTCCTGTAGCAAGCTGAGACTACTGAAGCCTTAATTAGTCTTAGCAAACAATTCTGCTACCTACTCATTCAGAAAACTGCAGATAATCACACTCAAAATGTAGAGCAGTTAACTGTACATCCTGTTTAGAAGGCACATGGCTATTCAAAAATGCACCACCATCAGAAAGTCACTAGGGCAGGGGTGTCAAACTCACATCGGCAGGGCGGCATCATGTGACATTGGGACTTTTTTCCCCTTCACTAAACCAGGCATGGGCGTGGCCAGCACGTGACATATCTGGCCCACGGGCCAGGAGTTTGACAGCCGTACACTAGGGCAACATGAATCTTTATTTGATAAGTACTAAAATCAGCACTTGCAAAAAACGCTGAAAAAAATAACACTCCATAAGGGCCTGTTCATTAGATTTCATGTGAACCAATGATTCTTAGGACAGAAATTAACTTCAGGCTTATAAAAAAGGGCATTTTAGAATGAGTAAGCTATACTGCCTAATTTGGAACAGTGTCACTGTTGATTTTTCATCACCCTTGCATGATTATCATCAAATATTGATCCATTAAGTACAGTAAAAAATGTTGAGAGCAGGCACACATATAGGAGAACAAACAAGAATCTTTTACTTTTTCCAAATTGTACCCCTAAGTATCCTCTACATTGTAAAAGCTTCTCAGTCAAACATTGTATCAGTTTTAAAGGTTGCTATTAGCATTGGTTTAGGGTTTCTCAGACACAGGTGGAGAAACAGTACACAACAGGATAATCAGCGGTGGAAAGGTAAGTAGTGTTACAAAACCTATTTCAACCTAACAGTGAACTTTGCTTAAAGGCTTTTAAACAAGATTGCCTTCTTTCAGAATGGCCAGTGAATGTATCAAAATATTCTGGGTTATACAAATCTCTCCAATAGTATATACAGCATTGTTTATGGCACATAATCTAGATTCTGGGTTAGTCTACCCCAGCACTGAGGTAGAGAGACCAATACAAGTTTATTCTAACAACAAAAACATATTCTTAGTACCTTAGCTTTTTATATTCACCAATATATCCTTGCTTTCATATTTTGGCACTCTGAATTTAGGATGCAATACAGATCCAAGATCTGCTACTAAGATTACTTTTCCAATTTATTCTGTTGCAGAATTATTTTGTACTCCCCACACAACAGTATGTGTAGCTTTTTCACTTATTACACTCAACCTGACCACAGGCAATAGCACCAAGGACTACAGGTCTCTTCAAGCCCAGGATAATGCCCAGTAGTTGGAGCTTCACCAAGAACCTAAGCCAGTACACACACAGGAAAGCATCTGGCCTGAAGGAGTGTCCGTATAAGGAGAGAGAGAAATTAACACTGTCCTGCCTGGAACAGCAGACAGGACAAGCAAGAGCCAAGGACTTAAATGCTGCATGGAACTTTGAGTTGAAGGTATTCTATAGACCCATAAAACTAGGAAAAATTGAATTTGCAATTCCCGTGTTCTTGAGCAGAAATAATCTGATGCCTGACACCATGTACTGTGGATGAGCCAGGACAGAGCCGCCACTCTTCACAGGATTTTGATTTCAGTTTTTCAGCTCCTCTCATCTAGTAAACCAACTTCAACTAAGAGAGCAATTCATTGCAAGAAGCAGTAGACACTGGAACTGAAAATCAATATTAACATAGTACTTATAATAAAGTTCTTTTCGCACATCAGGCCCAACCAACAATGAGCAAGGCCTTGAAATCAAGAACAGAATGACTATTCTTTTTCTATCCATTTATTTCTGTGAATACAAATGGAAAAGTCAGGAGGGATATACCTCCTCTTGAGAAGTCCTCCCCAAAATTTAGATTATGGGGAGCCTCTGTTCTTTGGGGCAGATTCAATAATATTTTAAAAGGCACACAGAGCAATGGCATACAAGCTGAACAATAGGGTCCTATTTCTTCTCCCTGGGCCTCAGTGCAATAAGAGCTTGCAGTCATCAAGCCATATGGAGATTGAAGTCCAGAGTTATTGCTAAGGTCCTGGGATCAAAGCAGCTAAAGCTGCGGAGCAATGCCAAGAGAGGAATACAGCCAAGGCAATAAGACTTGCCTAGTAGTACCCCATCTGCACGCAGAGCAGGAGCAGTTTATCTCCAGGAGGAATTATTTCCCACCCCCAGCAAAAAGGGACTTACATTCAAGTAGGAAAGGAGTAGGAATGGCGGAACACAGAGAATTCACAAATGACAACACCAACTTAGGGAAAGCAAAGTAACAAAAATCCCCACCTAGATCACATTGGGTACACAGAATTAAGTGGATAAATGTGTCCCATCTGTCAGGGTTCTGCTTTGGTCCAGCTCTGAAGGAAGCCCAGCCCAGGGCAGACATAGGCACTTCGGAGGCCTTGGGCTGGATTCAGCACCGACAGCCCAGGCAGCCTGTCTCCCTTGGGGAAAGATGAAAGCAAGACGAGGGAAACAGGGCAGTTGGGAAGGTGGTTTGGAACTGCAAGATAACAGTCTGTAGGCACTTGATCTGGTTAAGAAGCCCAGATATGGAGCTAGTTGATCCTACCCTTAGTTGGCTTTGACTTTGCCATTAGCAATGGCACCATTCTCATGGAAGCCGTTTTGCTGAGGTTGTGTCATGAACTTGGGCAGACGCTTGCCTTTGGTATATGACTGGTACCAGAAGTTGGAGAAGAGAAGGAAGAAGATAACTCCATAAATCCAGATGAGGTGGATGAAGATTGGGAACTGATATTTGCAGTCAGGAATGAAGTAGTACTGGGAGATGTGGATGGAGACAAGCACAAACTGCAGCTAGAAACAGAAACAAGGCACAGATGAAATAAGTAAAGGTGATAGGTGGAGTTCCTTCTACTCACAGGCAATGATGGGAATGGAAGAAAAGGGAAATCTCAACATAGGCAACAAATATCAAATTAGGTTATAAAATTTCTATAATTAGCTATTCAAAAGAAACAGAATCAGACAAAGTGACCAAAGATGATTTGTACAAATGAATAAAAAATGCTGGCATAATTTCCCTGTCCTTTTCCCTTTGTTACTTACTAGTTGAATGGCAGTGATGTACTTCTTCCACCACAAGTACTTTTGGAAAGCAGGTCCTGCAGCTGAGAGCGCATAATAGAAGTACATCACAACATGTACCATACAGTTCACCATAGCATGGAAGGAGCCCATTCCTCCTGTAGAGTAACACAGAAAAGGAGAAAGGTAAACAAGTGAGGATGAATGACATAACTAGACCTTACAGTCTATATAAATATTAGAAAAACAAAGAAAATTCATTTGGGGCACCTGGGATCATGATCAAAATGGTAAGAAAAAAAAATGTCAGTAATTTGTATTCAGCAGATACCATCAAACATTTTTGCCTGTTATTAGTGTCATGCAGTCGCAGCCAAAATGGCGTCTGCTGGCCCCGACGATCAGCTGTGGAGAGCTGCGATTGCAAATGCCCACGCTGGAGTTACCTGGGTGAGCCAAAAAGTGCTTTTTGCATGTTGCTATTGTTGGCTGGGGCTCTAGGGCACACCCCCCCACAAGGGTGGGAGTTAGTTATAGAGCTGCTGCTCTATGCCAGGCTGGTTTGGGCTGTTATTGATGGTTCAGGGAAGCTGCATGATAACAGGGCAAGAAGAATAGACTTAGAAATCCTTCTGCTGCCTGTCTTCTACCTTTTTCAAACCTTTTGGAGAATCCACACTTCAGATGGAATGCTGCTTTGCAAAAACACGGAGCCAACCTTTACCACATCTCTATCAGGCCAAGACTGAGTCATGACTGGGGGCTTCCTGGCCCTGACAGAAAGATGCGTGGCAAAGATTGATGACTCAGTCTGTGGACAGAAAGGCTAGATCCGTGCTGGAGAACCAATGCCACACGTGCCGGAAGTGGCACGCAGAGCCATTCCCGCTAGCATGCAAGAGGTCACCTGGAAGAGTCCCACTTGCGTATGCGCATGTGTACCACCACCAGACAGCTGATTGTCGGGTATCTGGCATGCATGTGCAGGGGGTGGAGGGTGTGTGTGCAGGAGACACGCGTGCATGTGCAGTCCTACATTCTAATCACTGCATAATCATAGCTCTTCAAATATATGAAATAGCTAGGACTTGATGACAGAAAAATAAAAGAAGAGTTAATTTTAAAATCTACATATATCAAAACAGAAAGGTTTGAAAAGATTCAGGACTTCTACTATCCAAACATGACTTTAATGAAGAAAGCAGATGAGGGCAGATAGTTCAAAGTCCAAAACTGTCTTCTTGTTCCTGTAATATCCTGGATAGCCAAACTATATATTCAAGTACATATACCTATAATGAGAAGACACATATACTTCATGTATTCATGAGATACCATATTATAAAGAGACATATCTGAAAATATGTATGAATACAATTTTTTCAAATCTTGGAATCAAGTTCTAGAGTAAATCTCCCTTTAAAATCTCACCTGGACCAAATTTCACACCCCACCACCAGCTCCAGGGTAGCACTGAGTGGTGGAAAACATGCAGAAAGGTCACTTGTTCATTCTTTTTTCTTAGGATAAAGATCACCTGGAAACAACAATGCACTGTGAGATGTAGGTTTCAGGTTTTGGCTAGTGGTGTATTTATACAGATGTTCTAATTCATCTATACCAAATCTAAATTAGAGAAAAAAGACCACAATGCAGTCCTCAAAATATGGCCATGAAATTACTGCTACACAATCTTTTAAATATAACTGTATTTATCAGAACACATATAGCCCGACCTACCCAGAACATCCTGCTGCATAAATGCAGCAAAGTATGTAAAGATTGACCACTATAATTTTATAAGAATATAAATGCTGGAAGAATAAGTAGACTTGAGTGGCCACCATCTAAAGATACTGGGTGAAAAGCAATTATGCTTTAACTAGAAAAATACGATCAATCATAAGAAGTCCAGAGTCACTTACTGTATCCATCAGCTCAATGACTTTAGAGAAAATGAAGATCCATGCCACACGGACCATCTAGAGACAAGATAAGTGTCTTTTTACATTCTAGCCATCACAAAATTAAAAACCCATCTTTCCCTCCACTTTTCTCGCCCTTTATAGCCTCCCTTCTCAATTGTCTTCTTAGAACACCTTCACCAAAGGCTGTATTAAAAACTAAAGAAAAGAAACAGAACATGTAAAAGAAACATAGGAGTACAGGCAGAACAAAGGGAGGACAAGACAGGAAAACGAAAAACAAGCTTACCCGAAGAGCCCTGGGATCCTGGGATGTATCAACAGGGTCACACCTCCATGTATAACCATTTAGCCAGCCTGACATTAAAAACTACCCAAAAAAATGGTATTAGAACTCATCATTCCCAGTCCTCTTCTTCATTAAAACTACATTCCAATAACATCACAGTTCATAACAGCTTTCTTTTCTAGGTCTCATATGCTGAGCAGGGTCAGACCAAACATTACAACATTTTCAAATAAATATCAATGCATTTAATAACTAATATGCACATGTCTTTTTACTTGAGAAATTTTACTTCAAGTATTTTTAGTGAAGCAATGTTTTTTTCATATACTGCTACAATCCAAGCATTATAGACTTATTTTGAATTAACACCAAAGTAGATTTTTAAGATATAATTGTCATGTACTATATTTATCTCACTGAACAATACTAACTGATATAATTTGGAACAAAGAAAATGAAATATCAGTAATAACATTGTATTCTTCCATATCAAGACAAATCCCATATGTTATTCTACTTGGGAAAATGTGCATTCACAGTGAAACATAAAAGGATTCAGAGAAGTCATTCAGCATAACAGCTGGTAAAAATATGTGATCTTGTACGATAGTGGCCTATTAGTATAAATTCTGCTATCAATGTATAAAATGAGTTTGAATATTGACTATTAATAATTATTTACTGTTACAATGTCATTTGTACCATTCCTAGTACAAAATTTCAAAATTCATGGAAATAAGCCCCCTGTATTGCATCATATTTTTAATACCTACTATCTCAAATGTAAAACAAATGCTCTCATTTTGAGAAAACATTTCTAGGAAGTTTGAAGAACCTGAAATTTTCTGTTGAACTAAATCTTCTACCCAACTTTCGCTGATTGTATGTTTTAGGATAACTTTTTACATATTACAGAAAAGTAGTGAGGGCAAGTATAAATATTTCTATTTTCCTTGCTTATAGGTTCTAGATGTGAAAATGTTGCATCTGTCTCTTTCATAGAGAAGTTGTGTCTAAGTAAGAAAGAATAAATCTTTCCAACTTACTGCTAAAGCAGATAATTTGAACATGCAATAAATAGTGAGCTAGTGTGCTTTTTAGTCAGAAATTTGTGTTTTTTAATATAATTATTATATACAATTTAAATGTATGCTATATATTTAAAAACAAAAATAGGGGACTGCATTTTTGCAAAACTTTTAGAATAAGATAAAAGTTTCATATCTCTTTTCTGAACTCAAACTGTTTTAGATATGCAAAAGTAGAAAGAGACCTTGAAACTGATGTTGGAGAATCAGTGTAAGCAACAATTGTATATCTAAGAGCTACAGATAAAATTTAATACAGGGAGAAGCTTACCTCATAAACAATATAAATTGATAGTGCCATCAAAAAAGAATTATAAAGTATCATGAACTTCTTAAGGTTCACAGGTTTCCTGTTGGCCATGAGCCGTGGCCCCAGTGATAATACAAAATAGGCATAACCCAGTAAGATACCCATCAGAGGCCAAGGAGAATCCATAAGTGGATATGAAGCAATCCGAGGGTCTGTGAAAAAAAATATGTAAGGATCTTGCAATACATTGAATCTTTTGTTATCAGTAGCCAATGTACCTGGAGTAGACACGTTTTAGGGATAGTGGTATTTAAAGATTGTGAATCCTTTTGAAATTTGAACACTTCTGCATAAATATGACCTAAAACATGATCACTTATCCACACAAGTACTAAAACTACACAGAGAAAACCAAATTAAACAAATAAGACAAAAACATTATACTTGTGGATTGATTTATTGATGAAAATGATCCAAAGCTACATATTTGAATGTGGTAAAAGTATGTGAACTTTTGGAAGATTCATTTCAGGGGGAATTAAGAGTCAGGCACTTCAGTTAATGGGACAATAATCAGATGAAAGGGTAGGAGTTCTTGCCTATTGAAAGAACAGAATTAGGGATATTCATTATCAAATAAATTACCAAACTTTCCAAAGAGTTTGGACTCCATCAGTCCATTTTCAGGCAAGATATACACTGTCATTGTACAAATGGAAACACTTCATTACTAATGTTATCCTCCCCAGGAATGTTCAGCTAGCCAAGTTCACACTAAAAGCAGTGTCTAATATTCCAAAAGAACTCAAAGAACCCAAGAGTAATGTCCAAGGAACTAAAGGCCTCTTGCATTGGTGAATGTCAGCATTCATAAGACCACAAAACTCCGGATAGCCAATATAGTAGACAGTACAAAAGACATTGTTTTGATGCAACTAGTAGTTGGGCAGATTTTACAGTTCTCTTTTCCATAAGGGTGGAGGAAACAATAGCATATGACTATAATGACAGTAACTAATATTCACATTTATTTAACGAATGTTTATATTTTAAAAAATTGTAAGAGCCTCAGCATCCGAATGGGATAGGGACAGCATAAAATGCAAGGTAGAGATAATGATAATAATGGACACTTTCTGTCCCTTTCCAAGGTTGTTTAATTGAATCTTCTTAATTTTCTTCTAGTTGTTATAGGCAACAGCAAAATCACAATGTTTAACTTTCATATCCTGTCATAGAAAAAAATCATTCTATAAATCAGACGACAGGACTACAACTTCTTGCTATGCTGTTTCTGCCAAGGGAAGGCCAAATTTGTATTCTCAATATTAGTTCTGTCATTATAGTTTTGACAATTAGCCAAAGGTCTTGTGCCAGTGCTGGATGAAGGAGGTCCCCTCACATTGACTGATAGTGCCAGCTCCAGCCACTACAAAGATTGGCTTTTTTAGAATGATTCAGAAAGAGGGACAAGTGTTGGCGCTCTCAAAACTTTGGTAGGCAGGACAAATACTTATCAGCCTTAGCCAAAGGTGTCCCTATCTTGTGCTGTGCTACTCAGCTGTCACCTCCTTTTTTTGTCTGCTAATTGTGCAGGCTGGAATGTCCCATTATTTTCATGGATATTTCAAGAAGAGACGTTGCACACAGAATGGACCAGGGCCATATCTAGTATGAAAATTGTTTTAAAAAAACAACACAATTTTCCTATGTCATTTCATGGCTTCATTTTTCTACACATAATACATATACTTTAGCCAAAAAGTTGTTTTAATTTCCACAGAGAAATTGTGTGCATCGCAGGGTGGCAAGGAGATAACCATTACTCTCCCCAAAGAATGTTGTTGCTCATCTATAGTTTGCGAAAGACCATATGGATAATCCAAAAAAGGCTATTGGATGAAATTCTATGGAGAAATTAGACTAATATAAAACTTTTGCGCTTAAATAAAAAGTATTAAGTTTTGCAAAAGACAAATGCTGCATTCTACCCTAAGAACCTTGTCCCATGTGTGAAATATGGTGCTGATAATATCACAGTTTGGGCTTGCTTTGTTGACTCTGGACCAGGATGGCTTGCCATTATTGATGGAATTTTGAATTCTGAATTGTACTGGCAAATTCTACAGGAAAATGTCAGGGCATCTGTATGTGAACTGAACCTCAAGAGGAAGTGGTTATGCAGCAAGACAAAAACCCCAAAACCCAATCATACAACCAAAAAATGGTTACAGTAGAAGAAAGTTAATGTTTTCGAATGGTCAAGTCAAAGTCTTAAACTTAAGCCTGTAGAAATATTGTGAAAGACCTAAAATGAGCAGTTCATGCAAGGGAGCCCACCAATATCCCTGAGTTGAAGCTGCTCTGTAAGGAGGAATGGGCTAAATTCCTCTAAGACAATATACAGAACTGATCAACAGTTATTGGAAATATTTATTTGTAGTTATTGCTGCTCAAGGGAAACACTCCAATTATTAAAATACTGAAAGCAAAACTTTTGCAACACAGAAATATGTAGCTTTGGATCCTCTTCCTCAGTAAATTCAATTACCAGTCTAAATTTGTTTCCTTTTGGGGGAGGAAAAGGAGTAAAAAGAAAACAAAAAATAGTTTCAGTTATTCGGCTAAGATCAGCTCACCTGCTCCCTTCATGAATTCTCGATAGTTGTTCACCAACACTTCCATGGTAACAATATTAGTTGCTGTTCTGCATAAGAAGTGAAATGTTAATCAATGCCTAAGAACTGGACAACCTGCAAATCATGCTTTTATTTGGATGCAAGTAATGAATAGTTCTGTATTATTACCCAATTCTCAACAAAGCATAATTACTTTTGGGATGAAATAAATGATTTAATTCTTGTTTTCGCTGAACACATCTAGGATTTTTTTTCTATGAATGATTTTGACAGTACTGATAGCAAATACTGACAAGTAAAAAAAGTACAAGTAAAACAAAGCTGTTCAGACACACTCAATCTAGAACTTGTGGTCTGTAGGCCACATGTGGTCCTGGACAGCTAGTAATGTGGCATAAAGCAATTTATCTTCACTCAATTCACCTAGGCAAGCCTAAATGTTGGACACACCTGGTCTACAAACCCATCTAGAAAAAAATTATAATCAGTTTATTCATAGTATACAGGTAAAGGTCAAATAATACCCTAACCTGGTTCAAATGGACAGAAAATAATACATGCTATATAAACGGAAGTATATATTATCTCAGACTTTACAGCAGTAAGGCCAAAATAAAAAATGCTACCGTTACTTTCTGAAATTTATTTTGTTGATCAACCAAACAGGTTATATATCAGAGCAGCTAAGGCTTTTAGGACACCATGTTATAGAAGTACTCTAATATGACTAAAATATATATATTTAAGCAGCCAACCTTAGAAACAGAGCACACAGTAAGAAAAATCACAAATCATTTTCTAAAATATTATTTTTCGTATAGTGACTCAACCTAGAAAGATGCTAAGAAAAACTAATACATCCAGCCACAATACAGATAGTTCAAAATAAGCTGTTACTGATGTGAAAGGAACCAACAGTATCAGTATACATCATACAACAAGAACAAACAAGGGAATTTAGAACAGCCTTACTTTGAGAGGATCCAGCCTTTTTTTTTTTTTTTTTTTTAGAATTTATGAAGGAATGAACAGTGAAAGATCAAGACAAGCTTAGGACCAAGAAAAAAATTGGGAAAACATACCAGAAGTCTGGTGGTGTCAAGTTGCCAATTGTTCTTGGCTTCTCTGAGTTTCGGAAATTTATCAGGCAAGACCAGGAAGAACAGAACCACCCTAAAAGTACAATAGAGATAGAAGATCAAGATAAACAGTCCACATCAATTATATTTATTTGTTTGTTTGTTTATTTATTGAATTTATATTGCCGCCCATTTTCCCATGGTGACTCAAGGCGGCTTACAGAATGTAAAACCATATTTAAAATAAAAAACAATGTAGCTCTTTCCTGTTTCTATTATTATACATAAGAATATACACTGACAGTGAAGCTAAGATAGAAGTACAAATAAAGTTACTTTAAAATATCTAAAGCAGGCATGTCCAATCTTTTGGCTTGTCTGGACCACATTGAATGAAGAATTGTCTTATCCAAATAGAAGATATATAATATAATTAAGATATATAAATGCACATAATGATGATGATGATAATGATGATGATGATGTGGCTGTCCAGGGCTAGCTGTCCAGGGCTATGTGGCCCACAGGCTGTGGGTTGGACATGCCTGCTCTAAAGTATAATGTCCGCATGAAAGGAAGATTTCACTTTTTCCCCTGAAACAATTCACCTTTAAAATGGGAGGCACATCATAGATTTGGTGTGAATATGGGAAATGAGAGAAGTTTTTTTCTGCCCAAACATTCATGATTCATCCATGCAGTTTTATAAAATTCCTTTAAGCCAAAATACATTTTTATCTCCCAACCTACCCATTCGCAGGTGGTCCCTATATCTGGCTACACTCCAATGCAAACTCTCCCCACTATTCAAATCATGGCAACTGCTGTTGAATTGATGTGGAGGAATATGGTGGTTTCTTAAAGAGAAACCAAGTTTCCTATCTTTCCATGTCTAATAATCTGTACTCCACTGAAGCAATAGGGCAAAACTTGATCTGAACAATAGGAAATGGCTACTCCTTGTTGATTCACTGGTATATAACGCTAGAGTTTATTCTCCTGAATAAGTAGCTCTGAGAGCTGAACGCAGCACTTGAGGGGCACATATTGCATAAATACTGTAGGCATGTAGTTCCTTGAGAGATTAAGGAAACAGAATCTGTATGCTTTTGTATTTAATAGGAAACTAATTACTGAGATATCAGTAATAAGTACTCTCAGCATTGATTTCCCACTGGGCACTCTGTACTATAATGAGTTACATTTCCCTGTTTAGAGATGATTAAATGAGCATGTCTGTTCAAAGGCTAAGATTTAATCAGGTCTAAATATTTCTTTTTTTACATATTACAGAGAGAAAGGAGGAGAAATTAAATGCCCAATATACTTTCCTGCATAATCAGTAGAATACAGAGATTGAGCTGTCACTGCCCCACATGGGCTCAACCTGCTCAGCCTGTTTGGGAGCTGGAGGGAATTCTGCTCAGCATTCTGCCACATAAGCAGCCCAGCCCCATTTCTAGTCTATGGTGCAATTGTGTCATACAAACACCCAGACCAAGAATACAGCACAGTTCTTATGTGGTATTCTCAAAAGCCTATTCCTATACACTGTGTAGCCATATAATATTGTCTGGATACCATTCTGCCCTGGCACCAGTGTGTACCAAAGCACTGAACAGGTCAGACTGGAACAGTGCAGTGGGAATTTTCACTAGCAACATTCTACAGGTTGCTAAAATGGCTTTGAAATTGAAAGCCCTCCCCCACCCCTCACTGGTTTGAGAAGAAAAATGTTTTAGTTGACATCTGCTCACTAAAATTAAACTGCCATCAACTTTAGGTAGAAGAAAGAATGTAACACAATTCTACTGCTATAGAATTGAAACCACGGGGGTAAAAGGAGACAGAAAATCATCTCTCCTCCCATCACATGCAATAGAGCAGATCTGGATATCTACATAGGAACATGTTCACCATGCATTTTCCAACTGGAATCACAGAAATGTTAATTGGAACTACATACTGAAATAAAGCTCAGTGTGCTTCAGCATCTATTATTGTAATCTAATGCCCAAATTCCAGCTCCACCCACCTGTATAAACAGTATTCTGGCAAAACTATAACATGACACATCAAGCCCATAGCTTGGCTGCATCTTCAACCCACTGACATTCTGAAGTCAACAGCACAAAACCCCACACCCACATGAGTTGCTTGCATAGAAGTGTTGTGCCTGGTACTGCCACGCACATGGATGCAGAGAAGAATCTCTCAATAGTATATTGATGCATAGAGATGGAGGAGGGGATTGGAATCCTTCTTGCCCTGCCAAGTGAGGTTGTGCAGAACATCCAGATCAGTGGGGAAAAGTACCCTTGAAATGGAAGACAACACTGAAAACAGAAGTTCCAACTCCAATTTTATATTCAGAGCAATATGCTGACCACAAACCATACGTGCTAATTTCCACTAGTTCAACTGTATATCCATTAGATTGCTACTTCCTTTAGAATAAGTCAGGGTTTTTTAAATAAATATTTTCCCTAGTTCAGTGAAGTACTATACAGCAGGCTACAATAAAACAGAACTGCCTTAACAGTACTAATAGATTATAAAGGCCAACATGTTCTAACCATCATATAAAATTATATAATCTAAAGCTTGCAATAGAGGAATAAACTGATCAAGTCAAAAAAAATAGTATAGAGCTGCCCTTTGAAAGACTGTTATGTCCAAAGAGAGAAGTAAATGGGCTCTATTTCAATCATATTCTCCTCTGAAATCTACACTATTAACAGTTCTTAGTAAGTCTAAATCCTTTCAAATTTCCTGCAGGCCACATTTTGATAATGTTGGTGACATCTAGTGACATAGGCCCAGAAAGGGGATCTAAAATATATTTTTGTGAAGGAGACCATTTTTTTCCAATTCAGTAAAACGTAATCACATTTGAATAAAAATAAAAGATAAGCTATTATTTGCAATAATAATCAGGTCAATCTATTAAATATTAGCAATCACGAATGTTGGCTTACCATCAGAAACCAAGCTAGCCTGATTTATTTATTTCTATTTGTTTATCTGTATCCCACCTTTATGATTTTTGCAAATAAGTCAAAGCGGCAAACATACCCAACACACCTTCCTCCTATTTTCCCCAGAGCAGCAACCCCGTTTGTCTGAGAGTGTGTGTGACTGCCCCAAGGTCACCCAGCCTGCTGTCATGGCTAAGACAATACTTAAACTCATGGTTTCTTGCTTTCTAGCCTAGTACCTTAACTATTAGCCCAAACTGGCTCTCATTTAACTTCAAGAGTGTTTACTAAACTTTAGTATAGGAGCAACTGTTGCTACACCCTGCTACCCCTTCTCCAGGTAGAAATCACAGAGATTGTGTCAATAATAAAAGTCACATGTATTTCCTTAGTGATAATCCAGAATTGAGCAGGTAGCGATCCTACCTGCCTTAAGGCAAACAACATTTCATTGTAATTGAACTGCTGTTGGTCCTGCAATTAAAACTTTGGAGTCCTCAAATACTGAGGTCTCTTTTTAGAGTAATGTTTTCGACGTGGGAAAGAATGAGCAAAAGCCATTCACCAATTTCATCCCATGTATTCACCTCCTGTAAAATTAATGACTTCCACCTAAATCCTAGGCAGTATCTTGTGAATTAATAGAAAGCTGCACTATTTAGAAAGCCATCTAAAACACTGTATATAAACATAATGCATATTAGCAGTTTCCTACTAATGATTGCTCCAGGACAAATACAAGTAGGTCCTTGACTCAAAGAGGAGTCTTTATGGAGTAAGCATGAGTCTTTAATGGGCAGGGGGTTGAAAAAAATGCATCTGCTCCAGGTAACCGGCAAGGCATAAGCCATAGTTAGACTGAGAGAGGGATTTAATACCTAAACAATTGATAAAATCTCTAAGATACACAAAATATTTTTTCTGCTTTTATTTACCAGCATGCCAATTCATATTAAGTTCCCTGTACATGATTTTGACAAAAACTACTCTACTACATAATCTCCTAGACAAGAAGCATGCTTGGCTCCTTTCCTTAATCATTTACAGTTCAAGTGCATGCTGGGATCTATACATTCATATGGCAGATGGTTTCAACTATTAATGAAATAACCCCTGAGATACCCACAGAGACTTATTTTACAGAACTCGACATACGCTCCTAAATCTGCACTTGGACAATCACCCAGACCAGAAGGTGAGAGTTCCCCAGTGAATACTACAGAATTACAAACATCACTTAAAAATTACATGCATACTTTAATCTGCTCTGTTTCCATAAAACACAATTTAACTTTTTATCTAAAGACTCTAACATATCAACTGAATTTTTATTTTTCTGAGCTTTCAGAGAGTCATTTATGAACAGATGCATTTTATTCAAGTTACATTTTAAGCCCACTATCCTCCACGAGTTCCCCTGCTATGCTTTTGTCTTATTTTTCATATAGTATATACAAATGAGGAAAAATTATATGCATTTTTCCTTGGCCATACTTTTCCATGGCTTTTATTACTACTTCAATAGGCTCCTACATGCTACAGCATTGTAAAATAATAAAGGGACTGGAGGAAGCACATTTCTCCCAATTTCATCTGTTTCAGAACGGTGAAGGAGGAAATGTGATAGGGCATATCAGAACAAATAGCTGGAACTGCATTCAAAACTATTAAAAAGCAATATGTGCCTACATCAATATTAGACAGGCAGGTGAGCAGTGTCTTCTTCTATAGAATGGTGACATTTAAAAATACAAGATGCATAATTTGAGTTTAGTGGGAAATAAATTAATGAAAATACCAGTAGTCAGTGGAAGACTACAAGTGATAATTAATTTAAATTTAAAATTAATTTCCCTAAAATACTTTCGCCATAGTGTCTTTGATGTAATTGAGGTGTCAGCTAAGCACAGTCATTTGCCAGTAATGTGCCCTCCCGCACAACTACATTCCACATACTCAACTCTTGACAGGAATCAGGCATACAAGCTGGGCAGAAAAAGTTTACAGGCCACCTCAATCAGAAGTAATTATTTGTATCGGGAAGAAAACTGACTGAATAACTTCTCCTTGCACAATCCATTCACTCATGATCTGATATCTTCATGAAACGTTAAGAACTCCAAACTTAGGATAAAAGCAGCCCAGCAAAGAAAATAGTTGCTATTGTACTTAGTTGGGATTTTGTGTGGATATAAAATAGTTCTAACAAATAAATAGCAATAACATATTCCATTTTAAATATTGCATTTACTGTGAAGTCAGTTTTAAATATTTTTATCTCTAACTGAGCATACAGCTGTCTTGATATACAACTGAAATAAAGTAGAACAATCTATGGCACCTCTGCCTACTGAATCTAAAATATAAGATTTGATTATATATTTAATTCATATCACATACATTTTTCTCATGTCTCAGCTTCACTATTCCTAATGTACATAAACAGGAGCTAACTTTGGAACAGAAAGTTCCTCTAACTTTGTATGGCGGGGAGAATAGAAATTTAAGTTGACAAAAACAAGAAAAAAATTAAGCATTCTATGAATCTTTTGTTTTAAAACCTTTTAAAAACTCAAAGAAACTGTGCATTTGATTTTGATTTGATAATTTGAATAGTTCAAGAATAGCTTTAAACTGAAAGGTGGGAAGTATTGTTACATCTAAATGTAAACTTCATAAACATGTTATGTTTAATACAGAATGTTAAAAAATTAAAAATGCAAAAATTTCCAATACATTTTTCTGAGCCTGAGATATTTTTCCAAATTCCAACATCAGCATCAGCCTACTAAGAAGAGAGTAACCCTTTTGTTCTGTTCCAATGAAAATATAGTGTTGCAATAAAAATTAATTATTATGCATGTAACAAATACATCCATTATGGTATAACTTTCCTGTACCTTGATCAGATATGATGAAGAGTCTCTAAAGGTTGTGACACAAAATATTGTTAATCTTTATAGTATCTCAGAAAATTTTCAGCACTGTACTTTGAGGGAATCAACTTGGGTAATGACTTGGCAAGCAATTTAACACACAGCTGTATAATGTGCAAGATATGAGAAATCACTGACCATTGCAAATTCTTGTCAAATGCATGCATCAGTTGTTGGTTTTTTTTGTTCTAATCAAATTCGGTTTTTGTTATGTTTGGTGCTCAGAACATCTTACATAGATGTGTAGTCAGTCATATTAATAAATCATTTCTTCCTTCATTCCGTATATGAGAACAATGTGAGCATTGAGGTTTTCTCTTATCACCATACATTTGAAAAGAAAGGAAAACAAAGATGGAAGAGGAGCAGATGATTAACTTCCTTCTGTCTCTTTCTAACTTCATGGTGAGCTATAAACTATTGCTTACACATATTGTTTCTCCTGCAGAAACTTTCTGTTCCTTTTTACAATTAATCCTATTTCGGAAAATGATTTTTCTAAGGATAGCAAACAAGAAGGGAAAAAAGGAAGAGAAGAAAACGATGTACAAGAAATGAATGGTTAAATTCAACTTCAGCATTCACCTAAAGGGGGGAAGGGATCTAAAGGAAGTCTATTGATGCCAGTGGCACCAAACCGAAATTCCTATGCTTTTAACAGCTACATATCAACGTTAGATTGTTTTATTTATTATCGCACTGCCAGGATTACAAAAAGCCTCCCCTATTGAACGTCTGTCTGTCACACTGACGTCAGAAGCCCTTGAGTTTGTGTACGCTGAGGGGGAAAAGGGTGTATTTCGATTAGCAACCGTCCCTCCTTCCCTATTTTTACGATTCGACCGTTTTGCCTCAGATTAATCCGTCACGAAGACCGGGGCGAATAGGGGTGCTCCCTCAACTAGCTTCAGTCTCTCCGGCCCCATTTCTCTTAACGAATATACTCTCGGCCTCTTCTGCAGCAACATCCCGTCGTCGTCGTGGTGGTGTCCCCGCCGCCTCTTGCCCCCATTTTTCAAACCGTTGCGGTAAGCGAACCCGTGCTAGAGTATTTCTCTGAGAAAGGAAATTTGCCCAGCTCCCGTTGCTTTCAAGCAGCAGCCTCCGGGAGCTCTGCTCCTGTCAAGTCGGCCTGCGTCACGCGCGCTGCGGGCAGGCGGGAGAGGAAATGGCTTGCCCGCCGGCTAAGCGAAAAGGAGGGCGGGGGAAAGCTCTCGGGAACGCGGACTGGGAGAAGGTGGCGAGATCGGTCCCAAGCCCGCAGCGAATAGGGTGTGGCAGCCGGGGAATGCAAGAACGGGGAGGGAGGCAGCCGCCTTAAGCCGGACAGGATGTGCGGCTCTCTCTTGCAGGCCCCGAAAAGCCTCGTAAAAAGTATCGAGAAATCTCTCCCCACCCCCCACTTGGACGAGCGCACTCACCCGCCGGTGGATCTAAGAAACGGGAGGAAAACGGCGCGTCCCTGAGAGCGGTTCCAGCACGTCTTCCTTCTCGATGGACCCGCTTCGGAGTCACCCCAGAGTTAAAGGGGACCGCCCCGAGCGTTCCTCTGCCGGCGATTGGCAGAGCCACGCTGACTATGATTTACCTCACTGAGGAGGAGCCAGCGGTCGGGCTGCCACGGAGGGGAGCGCTCTGACAGGTTGATAGGCCAACAGCTCCCGGTGGGTGGTGAACGGTGGGGAGGCCGCGCTTCCGATTGGAGGGACGTTTCTGTCGGCCTCTTCGTCAAGTCTCGCCCAGGCTCCGGAGGAGGGCTGGGAGAAACCTGCCTGACTCAGGAATTGGCTCGTGAGAGTTTTTGGTCCACCACGCCATTCTGGGCCGTTTGGGTGGAAGTGTAATGGGAGCCGTGCACGAGAACCCGTGGAATAAACGTTTCCCGTCCTTAAATTTCAAATAATTGCCTTCTCAGGCCGGGGACTGGTTGAAATCCTACCCCACAGTCTGCCTCTAAACGTGATCTGAAAACGGCTTGAAAATAATAAATCGTTTGTATTATTCAGCCCAGTTTAGCAATCCATTACGGTTTGATAAATCTAATGATTGATGATGTTGATGTAGCTTCTTAGCAGCCTCACAGTTTTAATCTTGTATATCCCAAACCAGGCCCACAGATCTTTGTAATCCATTGACTGTAACT